GTGGTCAAGAGAAGGGGTCCTAGGGATGGGGGCCCAAGGATATGAAGGGATCCAGGGGGGGACTTGCATGGCTTGAGGCACCTCGTCCTCAGGACCCCATCCCTCGGGGCCCCATCCTGAACCCCCGACCAATGACTCACCGCGCGGTGGTCACCACACCACACCGCTCGGAGACCACCGAGAGGGGAGGAGCCCAGGCAGGGCGGAGGAGAGACGAGCGCCGGAAGAGGGAGGCCTCGGCGACCGCGCACCGCCGGCCGAGCCAGCCCTTCGGGTGTAGCTCGAAGCGCCCCTGGCCCAGCCTCGAGCCACGAACAAACCACGAGGGGAGGTGTTTCGCTACTTTCGGTCGCTGGGCCCTCACTGGGCCTCGGGACCGTCCAAGAACGGCTGAGGATGAGGAACCTGCCCCAGGGAATGGGTCGAGACCTCTGGGCGTCGATGTCATGAGAGAATCCTGACGTCGAGGGTCTGGGATTCCCAAGGCGGCCCCAGCGGCCTCCCGAGCATCCCTCACTCGAGGCCCAGGGGGCCCCACAGGCTCCAACATGGAGCGAAACGCCGGGGGCACCTTGGGTCAGGGGCGCCGTTAGCAACCCCCAGGTCCTGGCCGCAGGGGCCGCGCCGAGCCCCGGCCTCCACGAGGGCGGAGCCGGAGGCCTCCCCGCGGAAGTCCGAGCAGGTGGGGTCGGAGGATCGGGCTGCCTCGACGATGCATCGGCGACGCTGCGCGACCCTGGGATCCCACCTGCTCGGACCCCAGCTGGGAAGCCTGAGAAGAGCCCTGGCCAACATCACAGAGAACAGACCGTCTGCGCACCCGCAAGCGAGCGCAGCTGAGCCGGTCGCCCCGGCCTGGAGCTGCCGCTGAGGGCAGCACAGCCCGCGCCCAGAAACGCTCGCGTCGTGAAAAAAACACAACAGGTGTTCGGCCCCCATGGGGCCCTCGCTGGGCCGGGGAGCCGCACAAAAACAACTCGCAACGAAAAACTGGCCATGGGGAATCGGTCGGGACTTCGGGGGGCCCCGTGGGTGATCCAGTGGTTCCTGGCTGGGGGGGAGGGCGTATTTGTTTATGGTTCTTGCGGGCCAAAGAACCACCCTCACCCCCAGCCAGGACACCCTCCACCCAGTCGGGAATGGGGGCCATGGCTGGGGGGACACCAAAGGTACCAATACCGCTGCTCCTCTGACCTCTCCCGGCGTGCGTTCTAACCAGAGGCGAATCCAGCGGAGGCGACGACAGCACGGCCTCCCAAGAGGCCCAAAAAAGGGAAAACCAGGGAAGGGTAGCGGTATGGGTTTCTTTTCCTCCTCCGAGCCTCGATCCTCGATCATCCTCGATCCTCCTCCTCCTCCTCCTCCACCTCTTCCTTATTCTTATTTGATTATTAGGAGTCGTCTTATTATGATTAGTTTTAATAATATCACTTTGGTGCACGATTGTTCGATGTCTTATTAATCGCGGCATTAGTTTGCTGCTTTTTCATAATATTGTCAGTCTAGTGTTGCTAGTATTCTTTTGATTAGTCGTACTAGTGTTGTTGTAACTGTTTTAGCATGCTTCTGATTAGGCGTAGCTTTATTCTATGAATCGAAGTATTCGTCTTCTTCGTCTTCTTAAAATTAGCATGAGAGTGTCTTCTTAATACTATGAATAATATCACTGGAATTAGTATGATTCTTCTTAGTGGTGATAATATCCTGATTCCTCCTCCTCCTCCGCCTCCTCCTCCGCCTCAGCTTCCGCCTCCGCCTCCTCCTCCGCCTCCTCCTCCACCGCCTCCTCCGCCCTCCTCCCTCCGCCCGCCTCCCGTCTGCGCCTCCCCTCGCCTCGCCTCCGCTCCTTCTCCTCCTCCTCATTATCATTCTCCCTCCACCTCCCTCATCATCATAATCTCCTTATTTCTCCGCCTCTGTCTCCTCTTCCTCTTCCTCCTCCTTCCTCCCTCCTCCTCCTCCTCCTCCTCCCTCCTCCTCCTCCCTCCGCGCCTTCCTCCTCCTTCCTTCTCTCCTCCTCCTCCTCCTCCTCCCTCTCCTCCTCCTCTCCCTCTTCTCCTCCTCCTCCTCCTCCCCTGAGGCTTGGGGTGGGGGCGGGTCGTGCTGTCCTCAACGCCGAGGCACTCTCGGGAGGCGTCGTGTATTGCCAGCAGCACCGCAGCTCGGTTTCGCTTGCTGGCAATCCTAACACGGGGCGCCGCGCACCCCGATGTGGGGAGCGAGGCCCCCCGGGGGGCCGTCGCCGTGCGCTAAGCGCCTCGCGACAACTCCCGGGGAGGCGGCGAGAAGTGTACCAGGCCACCTCTGTACCTGCCCGCGGCCTCCAGCCGCGGACCCGTGGGTCCGATCATCGATCATCTCGCCGCCCGACCACAGCCAGCCTCGAGCGTGCCCCCGCACCCGAGACCGACCAGCCAGAGGGCGATGACGATCTCAGGGGCGCGCCCTCAGAGGAACCGAGGGGAGTCCCAGAGATCGGCAGCGATGCAAGGCCATGCCGATCATAGGGGATAAGGGATGCGCTTCAGGCTGGCAGGCCAACCTTGTGCTTGGACTGGCGGCGCGCACGAGGGAGGGCAAGGAGGGCGGCCCCCGTGAGGAGGCAGGGGGGGGGCTCTGAGAAGCCCTCCTGACTTCCAAGAGCGCATTTTCTTATTCGCGGTCATAACGGGCGTTACGATATGGAGGGGAGGGGCGGAAAAGGCATAACGTAGCGCCCCCCCCCCCCAGACTGTGGTGCCGGACGCACTGCGGCGGTGCCGGGGACGCACCAAGGGGGGGAGCGGTACGTTATGGGTGGGGGGGGCAGGGGGGGCGGAGGGGAGGGGGCATAACGCGCGTTGTTCGGAGAAGGGCGAGTGGAGACACTGGAAACTCAAGATCGGCTCAAAATCGGTCCCCAGACCCTCCAGTTTTCCGCGAGCTGCGTCCAGCCGTGGCGACGAGGTCCCCCCCCGAGGGCCGACTGCCGGTGTCTCGAACGGCCCTCCGCCGAGTTACGGCCCAGAGGGTCGGGAAGAGAAAAAAAAATCCAACCGGCCCTCCCGGGAGCCCTCGATTTCCCCCCCTCAGAAGCCCGCTGCCTTCTTGGAGGGCCGCCCCCGCCCGCCCCCTTCTCGTTCCCCCCCGTCCCCCGGCTCACACACCCCTGGGCCCGTCCACCAAGGCCACCATGGGGGCCCCCCTGGCCAGCTGCTCGGGCCGCCTCCTGGGACTCCTGGGCCGTGGCGGTGAGAGAGGGGGGCCAGGGAAGAAGAAGAAGAAGAAGAAGATGAGAAGAAGAAGATGAGAAGAAGAAGAAGAAGAAGGAGAAGAAGAAGGAGAAGAAGAAGCCGCACGAGCAAACAGTCGGGCCGCTGACCAGGAGGAGCGATACATTAGGGAACGATTGGGCCCCCCAAAGGCGCCCGCGTGCACGAGGAGGGCTAGAAGTACAGCCACGGAAGGCCCCAAGGAACCTTCAGCCGTTCCGAACCCAAACCCTCCCTTCTTTCAGCGTCCTGACTGTAATCGTTTGGAGGTCCGCGTGAACTTCAATTTCATGGACTGGTGGCGCCGGAGCCACCTCCCTGGGGCGCGGAGCGCGCCAGGGGCGGCGCCAGAGGTGCCTCCAGGGGGTCCAGCAACGGCACAAGGGATCCGCGCGAGCCTCGGCGAGCTGGTGTTGACGCGGTCGTTTCTTCGTCGACCCTTCCAGGGGCCGAGCGAGGAGGAAAACGCAGCGTGCGCGCCGCCGACTGAAGTTAGGTCGGGCGTGTCCCCCTACAGGCGGATTTGGGGCGAAAATCTAAAGATAGTCCAAGAATAATCAGAGGCAGGCAAACTTAGGCGACACATCGTGCCCAGGTTTTACGATTTGGAATACTCCTCCTGCAGAGGGACATGCCCGACCTGAGACTGAAGTGGTCCGCCCGCGTCGGTGCGATCGCGCACGGAGCTGTACCGGTGGGGAAGAGATGCTTACAGCACAGCCGCTCGACGGGAGCGGCAGTGGCAGCGGAGAGGCCGCCGGCCGCGGGCCGAAGACCTTCGGACCGCGGGCACGCCAGCGATCTGTGGAGGGCCCCGGCCTCCGACCCCTCTTGCGGAGACGAAGCCAGGACAGGCATGACCTCGGATGAGGATTATAAAGAAAATCGAGGATCTCTGAGATCCGGCGGCTCTGGAGGATGTCTCGGGCGCCGCGGTCTTCTCAGAGCGCTCCGCAACGCTCCGAGAGAGTTCCGGAACGCCGCTGGCACGGACTTGTCGTCCTGGTGAGCGTTTCTTTTTAACTCGGCGTTTCGACATCGAGCGGATCACCCGAGAGAGTTCCGGAACGCTGCTGGGACGGACTCGTCTTCGTCCTGGCCCCATGCGACCTCCGCCTGCTCTCCCGTCCTCCTCCAATGCGGCGGTGGACAAACCTCCCTCTAGTAAACCTCCCCTTAGTGAAAACGATCTAGGGCCGAAATCGAAGGACCTGGACCCACAAGAATGACGGCCGCGACGCCCTCTCGCGAACCGAAAACGGCCAATTCCTTAATCGACATGTCAGGGTAGGAGGTCTGTCCACCTCCGACCAATGACCGGGGCGGCCCTGCTGCTGGCGTGCCTCAAGCTCGAGTTCCTCTTTCTGCCAGCATGCTTGCCCTTCGGCCCTGCCCTGGCGCCTGCTTTTGCTTCACGGCTCCTCCGGATTCCTATGGATTCCTCGGGATTCCTGAGGACTCCTAGGGATTCCTTGGGATTCCTAAGGATTCCTAAGGAACCCTACGGATTCCGAAGGCTTGCTCGGGATTCCCAAGGATTCCTGAGGAGTCATGAGGATTCCGAAGGAGTCCGCAGGATTCCTAAAGATTCCGAAGGAGCCCGAATGATTCGTAAGGATTGAGGGAGACCTCAGGATTCCCAAGGATTCCCCCCCCTTCCATGCTCGAAACTGCCTCTTTGGAGCCAGGCCAATCCTTGCTCCATGCTCCGCATCTCCTCCTCTGACGTCCCTCCCTCCCTCCTGCTCGGCCCCGCGCAAGCGCGTACACTCTCGGCAGGCACACTGCAGCAGTGCGGCGTGATGGGTCGCTCAGAGCTGGTGGCCGTGCCAGAGCTCCCCCATGAACGACGCACGCAGCAGATCCCCGTGGCTCCCTCAGCCTCGAGGAGGAGGAGGAGGAGGAGGAGGAGGAGGAGGAGGAGGAGGAGGAGGAGGAGGAGGAGGAGGAGGAGGAGCCCCCCCTCCTTGAACCACGCGCGCTCTTCGCGCGAGCTCGAGTTCAAGCGCAGTCCGGGGCGCCCTCACGACACAGTGGGTTCATGCCAGAATGCATCCTCGGGGTTGGTGGCAGCCTGCGCGAGCTACTATACATTGACGGATCACCCGTTCTCTCCTTCCTGCTCGCAACATCATCGGGTCTCTCGCCAGCGCGCGGCCAGGAAGTCCCAAGAGGCTTCGAAGACGGCCCAGGAGGCTCCGAAGAGGGCCTCGAGAGCCCAAGACGGCCGAAGATGGCCCCAAGATACCTTTCAGATGACCCAGGGGGACTCCCCGAGGGGGGCATGAAACATTGAAAAGCCAAAGTGCTTCTAATGTTTTTACCTGTCCCATGTTCTTATCCCAAGATGTCGAAACGTCGCCTTCAGACGGCCACGTCCCCACGGTGGCCCAAAAACAGGGCCCCGAGATGGCCCCAAGACGCCCCCAAAGGCTGGCCCCACAGACCTCGAGATATTTCCGAAGGTTGCTCCAGAGGGCTCGAAGATAGCTCGAAGGTAGCCCCCGAGGCCCCAAGATGTTTTGTGTTAAAACAAAGAACAACAACAGCAACAGCAACAGCAACAGCAACAGCAACAGCAACAGCAACAACAACAACAACAACAAAACAACAACAACAACAACAACAACAACAACAACAACAACAACAACAACAACAACAACAACAACAACAACAACAACAACAACAACAACAACAACAACAACAACAACAACAACAACAACAACAACAACAACAACAACAACAACAACAACAACAAAACAACAGCAGCAACACAGCAGAAGGCAGAGCAACAAAGCAACAAAACAATCAGCAACTACAACACAACCACAACAACAAAAACAAAAAGAAACGAGGTCCCAAGATGCCCCCGACAGGAGGGCACATGCGGACCCCATCCCAGCACCCCGCGATTTCTACAGGGCGGGGGGGTGTCACTGCGCTCGGGAGGTCCCAGAACGAAGTGACCCCCACCTCCCCCCTCAGAAATCGAGGGGAGGTGGGATAGGGCTTGCATATGGGGAGCGAAGAATGGCATAAGCATCAAAGCTCGGAGGTCCGCGCGGATTTCTCGGATCGGCGCCAGAGGCGCCTCCAGGGGGGTCCAGCGCGGATCCGAGAAATCCGCGCGGAGCGTCAAAAGTTTTTATGCTCGTGCCGTTTTGCTTTCTTCCAGGGATAGGGGTCGCCTGTGCTCTCCTCCCCGAGAGGCCCCATGGTGGATCCAAGCTCTTCACGTATCGGGAGCGGCCAAGAGGGGGGTGTCCAAGAGGGGGGGGGGGGGGGCAACACCATGACCGGCGGCATGTGCGCGGCCCAGCGGGGGGACCAGGGACGCCATGAGGTAAGATGAGGCGCCATGAGACCTGGGGACAAAAATATCATGGCCCCCGCCACGATATCCACCCCCACCCCCCAGTCACCACCCCCCCCTTTGCCGCCCCCGACCGCAGAGCCTCCCGGCGGCAGAGGGCGGAGAGGGAGGAGAGGGAGGAGAGGGCGGAGAGGGAGGAGAGGGAGGAGAGGGAGGAGAGGGCGGAGAGGGAGGAGAGGGAGGAGGGGGAGGAGAGGGAGGAGAGGGAGGAGAGGGAGGAGGGGGAGGAGGGGGAGGAGGGGCAGGAGGGGGCGGAGAGGGAGGAGAGGGAGGAGGGGGCTCCGGAGAGGGAGGAGAGGGAGGAGGGGGCTCCGCCCAGGGGGCCCCGGCGGCAGAGGGCGGAGCCTCGGAGCCGCCCTCTCTCTCGCAGGGCCTGCGGCCCTGGGCCGGCCAGGCCCTGCGCGCCCCCGCGGGGACCGAGTGCTGCACCCTGCGCGTGCTCCCCTCCCCTCCCTCCCGCCAGCTCGTGGGAGCCTCCCATAGGGGGCCACATGCATACAGTCGGGGCGCTGACCTGAGGAACCCTAAATAAGAAACGAGGCCCCTTTTCTCCAGAAGTTGAACTCCGATTTCCCTTCGAAAACCTGCGGAAAGCTGGGGGCAAACTGTGAAACAATGAAGGAACACGGAGCCCCTATCCAACGAAAAGAGTTCCTTCTTCAGCGCCCCGACTGTACCCTGCCCCTACCCCCCACGACTTCTGAGGGGGTGGGGGTGCACTTCGCTCGGGAACTCCCGAACGAAGTGACCCCCTCCCCCCTCAGAAATCGTGGGGGGTAGGGGCAGGGTTCGCATGCGGCCCCCTATCCCATGCCGTCGTGCTGGGTTCACGGCCTGCGACGCCAGGCAGGCCATGCCCCACGTCCCCACAGGGACCGAGTGTTGCACCCTGTGCTCCCCTCCCTCCCTCCCTCCAACTCGCGGGAGCCTCTCGGGCCATCCTTCTGGAGTCTTGCGAACTGGCGCTGCCAACGACGCTCATCGACGCTGATCGACGCGACATCGGCCCAAATCGACGCTGATGGATCCCAAAGCCGCGCATTCTCATCGACTAGCAGGCACTATCGCACGCCAGTGCACTCTGAGGAAGGAATTTCGAGGACACACGAGGCTCTCGTGACTTGCTTCCGAAGCACCCCCTCCGTCGGGAAGAAGGAGGACGACGACTCCGAGGAGGCCTCAGGCAGCAGCGACGGGCATGCTGGCGGAACCCGAGCTCCTCGCGTCGAGGCCGACGAGGCCGCCTTTGAGGGACAACGATGTAGGGGGGACTGGCACATGGGAAGAGAAACGTCGACCTGGAATCGGCGACACACTGCCGATAGATCGGCGACAGGCCTCCAATTGCGAAACCGCACGTTCCGGGGCGGGGTGGGGCTATCGGGCCCCATATCGGCAATTTTCGGGTCATAGGGCGGCTCTCCGGCGGCCGTTCGGGACGATCTGGCCACCCAGAACGCTCTCGACGAGGCGCAGCCGCCCGAAAGCATCCCGAGGCTGGAGAGCCGCAGAGAACCAGCGAACGCGTCCGAAACCTCGAATCTCGAAAGCCTCGAACCTCGAAGCCTGTTCCCCCCCCCCCCCAGTCGTTGCCCCTGGAGGAGGAGGAGGAGGAGGAGGAGGAGGAGGAGGAGGAGGGGAGGAGGAGGAGGAGGAGGAGGAGGAGGAGGAGGAGGAGAGTGGAGGAGGAGGAGGAGGAGGAGGAGGAGGGAGGAGGAGGAAGGAGGAGGAGGAGGAGCAGGAGGAGGGAGAAGGACGGCCCCGAGCGGCTGCGCGCACCGAGGGACCCTGGGCAAGAGTGACCTCTGGAGCGAGGCTCTCGGGGCGCGCGAGAGGGGGGCAAACCCGAGCGCGCAAGCCGCTGCTGTCGCAGCGCACTCTGACCGCCTCCCAAACCACCCCGACCCAACCCGAAGGCCCGGGTTTCGGGTGGGGGGGGGTACGGGCTCCGTATGTGTTTTGGGGACTGTTCCTCGAGCCCCCCCCCCGCTGGAAGTGGATGGCAAATCGGGGCCTTCGGGTTGGGTGAGGGTGGTCTGGGGGGCGGTGACACTCAGCGATCGGCGAGGGGCCTCCCGGGGAGGAAAAACGGGGACACCAGAAGGCACCGATACCCCTCGGTCGGAAGGAGTAGGTAGAATCATGAAGCAGGAAGGCGTTGAAAGCAGACTGGGTTCCGTCCGCCCCCCGAGGAGGACGGAAAAGGTGAAGCCACTCGATCATTGAAGTAGGAAGGCGCCTAAAATAGATTGGAATCTGGGAATCCAAAAATACCTACCTTCAGCGACCGATGGGCACCGCCAGACCTCTCCGAGGGCGCGCTCTGACCGGACTCTCGAGGCGAGCCCAGCGGGGGCAGCGAGGGCCCCCCCCAGGAGGCCCCCAGAGAGCCAAAAGGAGGCACCTTTGCCCTCCTCTGCAGCGAGGGCAGGGCATTTGGTACGGGCGAGTACCCTTTTCCTCCTCTGAGCCTCAGGCAGCAGCGACGGGCGTGCCGGCGGACCCCGAGCTCGCCCTCGTCGAGGCCGACGAGGCCGCCTTGCTGGGCCGGCCCCTGGTCGCGGCCGTCGCGCCGCGGCCGGGCGCGGTGCTGCGGGCCTCCGGGGCGGCAAGGGCTTTGCTCTAAACATGGCCAAGAAACAATTTCAACAGAAATACAACAAAAGACAAAACAAGAAAAAAAACACTGTGGATTGAATCCGCCTGCCCGGGCGTCGAGGGTTAGGTCGGGCATGTCCTCATACAGGCGGATTTTGGAAGAACCATTGTTTCTTTGCCTCTTCATCTAAATGTGACAAAAAATCAAAATAGACAAAAATAGTCAAAAGAGCACGACAAATTGACACCTGACTCTGTGTTGACTGTTCTTGAAGATTCCTCCTGCAGAGGGAAATGCCCGAATTAGAAGTCGAGGGGCCCAGGGTAGGAGGGGACTGAATCGCACCGCCACCACCAACACCTGGAGGATGGAGGCAGAGGGTGGTCAGGGGTGGTGGTGGTGTATATCGTTTCGGGCGCTCTCGCGGGACATCATGCACACCTGCTTGGCGGCGCACACACGGGGGCAGGGGGAGGGGCAAGGCTTCTCAGAAGGAGGCTGCTTCTTATATGGAATGTGCCAGCCCTACATCTGTAGACAAGGCCCGCGACTCCTACGAAGCAGAGGTGCTTCGGAGAGGCGTTACCCACGCCCCCTACCCCCCTCTGCGCGTGGCCGACCTGCATCCAGCAGATCAGTTCACCCTGAATCACCCCAAATGGTGGTGGTGGTGGTGGTGATGGTGGTGGTGGTGGTGGTGGTGGTGGTGGTGGTGGTGGTGGTGGTGGTGGTGGTGGTGGTGGTGGTGGTGGTGGTGGTGGTGGTGGTGGTGGTGGTGGTGAACTTCCTGCTCTTAGCGGAGAGGCACAGATAAATCGGCACAGTTTCTAGGAAGTCCTATACTTTTCCATATGTCCAGGAATTCCAAGGATTCCCAGATGTCCCACAGAATTCCCTGGGGAATTCGGGGCATTCCCGCGTACATTACGCCAGCCCATGCACAACTTCCGAAGTCCACAATGAGTTCCAAGAATTCCCTGACTTTCTTCTTTGTTCCTGAACTTCACTTCCCTCTTTCCCTTCATGTCCCACGCTTTCCTACACTCTCGTGAAGGTCACCGTTTATTGATGTACCTGTGTCGGTATTCCCGGCCGGAAGGCGGCGCGCCTGGCAGAGCCTGCTGATCTGCGCCAGGCGGTTGTCCTGCCGGGGGACGTCAGCTGCACATCGCACACCGATCTCGGGCGGGAGGTACCAGGGGGGACCGAAATGGAGGGGGTAACGACTCCTGAAGGGGCCCCAGGACACAGAAATAAACACACACACACACACACATAACAGGATCCCCCATATTTCCCTATATTTTCTGGTTTTTTCTCTTCCCCCCCCCTTCCCATAGTTTCCCATGTGTCCCTGGGAATTGACGATGATTTGTGTCTGTGTGTTTTTTCCCTCCTCCTGAAAGACAAGGGCCCCCTAGAGGGGCCCTTTAGGGCCCCTCTTGGAGCCAGCAGGAGCCCGAAGGGCCCTTTCTCCACCCCCGCGTCCATGGGCCACCCCCACGGCCACCCCCCCGAACCTGTGCCCGGGGCCCAGGATCCGGTGCACACGCCCTCCTGCCCCGGCCGTGAGGGGCAGCGATGAGGAGGGGGGGCCGGCACAGGGGGGGGGGGGCCATCGACCTGTCGTCGGCGATGCCTCGCCGCTATAGATCGGCGCTGGGCCCCCACCAGCACAGCCGCGCGCGTCCCCGGGCGGGGGGTTTTGGGGGCTATCCGACCCCCATCGGCGAGCAGTGGGCGACGGCGGGCCGAGGGCCTCCTCCCCGCGCCCACGCCCCCCCCGCCGTGGCCCCCGCGCGCCCTCTCCCGGCCGGCCTGCGGGGGCGCCCGCACGGGCCACGAGGGCGGGATCGGGACGTAATGAAATAATAAGAGGCGCCATGAAATCTGGGGAACTGTCGTGGCCCACGCCATGATATCCACCCCCCCGAGATCGGTGCTGGTGCCTGCGGCCGTCGCCCCCCCCCCGCTCCTGGATGCGGCGGAGCTTCGCCAGCTCGGCCCGGGCCTCGCCCTGGAGGCGGCCGAGCTCGCCGCCCACGGGCTGCCCGGCGGCGGCGGCCGCGGCAGCGGCGGCGGAGAGCTGCACGAAGCGGCCCACGCGGCGGGGGCCCAGCTTGCAGCGGTGGATGTAGTCGTCGAGCGCCGCGACGTCGGCCTGCGCCAGCGCGCGCCCGCAGGCCTCGAGGCGGCCGGTGGCGATCACGTGCACCGCCAGGAACTTCCCGTCCTGGGGGCCAAACAATAACTGCACAGGCGCAAGTGTTCGCAGCTCCGCGCGGATTTCTTGGATCGGCGCTGGGCCCCCTTGGCGGCGCCTCCAGCGCCGCCCCTGGCGCGCTCCGCGCGCCAAAGAGGAGTGTCCATCGCCGATCCGAGAAATCCGCGCGGAGCTCCGAAAGTTTCTGTTCATGCAGTTGTTGCTTCTTCGACGTCCACGAGGCTGTACGGGTGGGCGCGCTCCTGAGGGGCAACGAGATCGGGACGCTGGCACGAGGGGGGGGAACATCGACCTGGAACCAGCGATGCATCGCCGACAGATCGGCGACAGGCCTCCACTGACAAAACCGCACGTTCCTGGGCGGGGTGGGGCTGCTGGGCCATGCGTTCCCCATGTTTTCTCGGATCAAAGCCGGCTCTCGCCAGCGGCCGTTCGCGACGATCTGGGCACCCCCGGAGCGCTCTCGGCGAGGCGCAGCCGCCCGAAAGCACCCCGAGGCTGGCAAGCCGCAGAGGACCAGCGTTTTACCACGCCTGGAAGCCTCGAACGAACCTCGAGCCTCGAGGCCTGCCCCCCTCCCCCATCGCTGCCCCTGAGCTCGAACACCTCGAACCTCGAACGAACCTCGAGCCTCGAGGCCTGCCCCCCTCCCCCCTCGCTGCCCCCGCGGCTCCGGATCGGCGCGCAGCTTGAAGGGGGGGTAGGGCAGCATGCACACGGGGAACTCGGAGACGGGGCAGAGCAGCGGCAGCCCGGGCCCGGGGCGCGACCACCAGCGGGCGGCGCTGCAGCCCCCGCCCATCTCGGGCGAGACGTCCCCCCGCGCGACCTCGCGGATCAGGGGGGCCAGGTCCGCCTTCTGTAGGGAAACAAAAAATGGCATAACCATGAAGAAGCTGGAGGTCCGCGCGGATTTCTCGGATCGGCGCTGGGGCCCCCTGGCGGCGCCTCCGGCGCCGCCCCTGGCATCGGAGGAGGCAGGGAAAGGCGTGAAGCGGGAAGGCGGATCAAGCAGGTTGGGCTCTGGCCCTCCCAGAGAGTAGCAAAACATAGCAAAAGCATACCGCTTCATGAAGTAGGAAGGCGGTCGAAGTAGATTGGGATCAGGGGATAGTAGAATACCTACGTTCAACGACCGACGGGTAACAAGTCGGGAGCGGACCTAAGTTCAGAGCCCCAAAACATTTGGGATATGGGGTCTGTTCTGCAGATGTAAAAACTCAGCCACCTAGATGCAGCACCCTAATGCAAGCACGGGGACCTTGGAATACATCTTCGCTATGTTGTTCGGATTAGGGACTCTGTTATTCTCGATGATTCCATGCCATCTTGCTGGCTCTTGCAAATTAACGCTGACCGCGTCTTGCTGGGCTGGCTCTTGCGAATTGTCGCTGACCGACGCTGGCCGACTCCAATCGGCGCTGATCGACGCCAAATCGACGCTACATGGACGCTAAATCGGAATCAGCGCTTCCTCACCGATCACCAGGCGCCAGCGCAGGGAATGCGATCGAAAGACGGGATTGCGAGGACATACGCGAGCATAGTTCAACCACTCCCAATCCCCCCTGGCGTAGGCTGGGCCATGGCTTGGCCTGGGCCACATTGGCCGATCCACCCCCCAGATGCGAGTACAGGGTGTTCTCGTCGGGTTTCGAGGGGCATATCCCCAACTGGGGTGGTGGGATGATGGGGATCGATTTTGGGATGGGGGTGGGGATAGGGATCGCTCAAACAGTGCTGAACACAGGGCTCCCAGGTGGCGAACCCAACGGTGGCGACGAGGGCCTCCCAGGAGGCCCCGAGGCGAGGGTAGCGGTATCGGTGCCTTTCCCTCTTCTGAGCACAAGGCTCCCGTGAGCTGCTAAAACGAAACTACGCATGCTAAAACTCGAGGAACACCGAAGGGACTCGCCACCACAAAAGCAACGGAACGCATGCAAACCTAAGGTCGGCGCCGAGCCCAGGGTGCAAGTGAGAAGGGGCGGGCCTTCTCAGAATGCTCGGAAGTCCTCTGGCCTTCTGATAAATGCCCTAAGCCTTCCCCGAAGACCTAGAAAACCTCTCGGAGGGCCCGAGGCCTTCTGAGAAGCCCCGCCGCCTTCTGAGAAGGCCTCCTCCTTCTCACTTCCCCCCCCCCCGCTCGCCGCCGACCCTTCCGACCTAGCATCGGACCCTGCTTCAACGAGCTGACTACACCGAGGCTCCCACGAGTTGCTGCCGAGCCCGCCCTCGCCTCGCAGCCCAGGTCGCCCAGGCGGTCCGGGGCGGCGCGCTGGGCCGGCGCCGGAGCCGCCGCGGGCGACCCCGCGGCGGCGCTGGCCTGTTCGGACGCCCGAGACGGGCACGGACAAAAAAAAGGCGCACGCGGAGGGCACTGTTCGTCGCTGTTGGACTGCGGGTGCAGGCTCTCTCGCAAGAGGAACGTTGGCACGGGCGGCACGGAGGACGGCGCCACAACATGCGCGGCGCGCTGCCCGCGACTCGCCGCCTCCGCATGCTCAGAAGCAGAGCGGCTGACACACCAGAGGGGCGACTGAGCGGCGCAGCGCACGGCCACCGGAAAGGATGGCGGGGAGCTGCGAGCCGTTTCTCGCTCTGGCCGCCCTGGAGGCACGCTCGTCCCTGCTGGCGATCGCCTGGCGCCCACGCTCGCTCGCTTCTTCAGGCGAAGCGAAGCCGAGGGCCGACAGGACGCCGCCAGGGCCTGGCAGGATGAGGGCCTGTTGCCCCCTCCGCAGGGCGGAACAGCTGCCGCTGGGCGGGCGCGGGCCGGGGCCACGTTCCTAGGGGAAGAGAAAGTGGCATAAGCATAAAAACTCGGAGGTCCGCGCGGATTTCTCGGGTCGGCGCTGGACCCCCTCTATGGCGCGCGGAGCGCGCCAGGGGCGGCGCCGGAGGCGCCGCCAAGGGGGCCCCGGCGCCGATCCGAGACATCCGCGCGGACCTCCAGCTTCTTCATGTTTATGTCACTTTTGTTCCGCTAGTTCCTCAACGAACGCCCCCACCGTGCGATGCCCAACAGCAAAAGTTGTCCAAGACCGACAGCTGCCGCCTGTTGGGCAGGCGGCCTGCTGCCTCACATGGGCCACGCCCGCGGCGACACCGGCAGCGGGCCCTGTCCCAAGTAGACAGGAGGTGCGGTCAGTCTTCGTCCCCACTCTTTCCGCACCCATGGAAGAAGAAATTGAAGGGGCCCTGGGACACACAGATAAATATACACAAATAAAACGATTCCACATATTTCCCCATATTCCTTGGGTTTTCGTCTTCCCCCCCACTTCCCATATTTTCCCATATTTTCTGGGGAACCGACGATTAATTGTGTCTGTGTTTTTTCCCTCCTGAGAAATAGAGTAATCAACATACTCCGAGTTTCTTAATAAGCGTCGGGGGGGCGTCGCCCCCGCCGACAGCCCCGCAACGACCCCCGTCGCGGGCAGCCACCGCGCGCCGAAGGCGCTCCGACCCCCGTCGCGGCGCGACGACGAGGCGAGGTTGACCCTCGTCGGGGGGGAACCCCCCACGCTTGTTCAGAAAAACCCAGAGTCAACTTCCGACGACCCGCGCGGACCGCCAAAAACGTTCTGTTTGCGCCGTTCGGGCGGGTGCACATGGGGGGTGACCCAAATGGAGGGTGAAGGAAAAAGCCCTCTAGGGACCCTTCAGGGCACCTTTTGGGCCCCTGCTGGCTCCAAAGGGAGCCCCGAAGTGCCGCTTCAGGGTCTCCTCCTTCACCTCCCATTCGGCTCCCCCCCCGTCCGCACCCGCCCGAACCGTTTGGCGCCCTTCGAACCCCTTGCGGTCGTCCCGAGCCTGGGCCCCCGCGGCCGCGGGCGGCGCCGCGGCGGCGCCGCTCTTGCGCGGCCTGGGCGGCGCCGGGCCGCCGCGGACGGCGCCGCGGCGGCGCCGGCCTGGACCGCCGCGGCCGCGGGCGGCGCAGCGGCGGCGCCCGCCTCGGCCGCCGCGGCGCTCTCGGTACCCGGCGGGCTGGCGGCCGCGCCCGGGGCGTGCGGCGGGGCGCGGCACGCGGCCAGCAGCGTCGCGCCAACCTGGTAAGTATCGTTTGGCCGATCCCCATCCCCAGCGGCGTGGCCTGGGCCCCGCTGGCCGAGTTACCCCCCTAGATGGGGATAGAGGTCGTCCCCGTCGGGTTTCGAGGGGTGTATCCCTAACTGGGGGGGTAATTTGGTGGGGTCTCGAAGGGGATAAGGATGGGGATGGGGATCGGATGAACGATACCGACCTGAGACGAGGCCAGGACGAGGACAAGCATTTTCCATCGGCGGCGAGGCAGAGGCAGTCCGAGCCAGCGTGTGGCAGATCGACGAGGAAGAGACACGCCGGGCGGGGGCAAATCGAGCGTCTCTGAGGTCCGGCAGCTCTGGAGGATGCCTCAGACGCAGCGGCCTCCTCAGAGAGCGCTCCGGAGCGCGCTGTGAGAGTGTCCCCGAGCGCACTGGAGCGAGCTCGTCCTCGTCCCAGCCGTAGGTCGGGCATGTCCTCCTACAGACGGACTTGGGGCGAAAGATACAAAACACTCCACAGAAACAAAAAAAACTCCCAAAGAGTCAAGAGTAGTCCACAAAGATCGCCCCCGTACTAATTTTTGACTATTCTGGAACATCCCTCCTGTAGAGGGACATGCCCGACGGAATCCCGGCCCCGTCCGACAACCAGCGGCAGCGCCGGCGGCGCCTCCCGCACCGCGAGCGGCGGCGCCTGGCCGAGGGGCACCGGGAGCGGCTGGCCGTGGGCCCTCGCGCGGGGGGGGCAGGCATCGAGGCTCTCGCAGCGGCTGCGCCAGCGGCCGTCGCCGTCGAGGAACTTCACCACCACCATGGGCGCTGCGGTCGTCATCGCCGTCTCGAGGGCGCTCGGGCCTGTGAGCCTCGTGGGAGCGGGCAGGCGGGTGCGGGCGACCTCGTGTCGCGAGAGAGGAGGTGGTGCAAAACCGATGGAGCCTAAATGGCTGGTTACGCCATGCTCCTCCAAGCCCCGTTCTCCTCCTCTTCCTCCTTCTCGTGAGATTCCCTCCTCCCTCCTCTCTCAGCTAAGTGTCCCCTGCCCTTTAAATTTCCGGCGCCCCTCTGTTCCCCGCGATATTGTCTCCCGTCTCTCCTCCTCCTCATCCTGCTCCTCCTCCTCCTCCTCCTCCTCCTCCTCCTCCTCCTCCTCCTCCTCCTCCTCCTCCTCCTCCTCCTCCTCCTCCTCCTCCTCCTCTGTCCAACCTCCTACGTGTGCACGCGTCCTTGGCTGCGTGCACTACAGAGTCCGCTGGCATGTTGTACCTGCGACGGCACCTAAACACAGTGTCACGCTCTGCACGCCGACCCGCCCGTGAGATATCGACCATCAGCTTGGCCGAACGTCGGAAAACCACTTAAACATGAGCACTAAAAGAGGAGCCGCAAAAAATTGAGATGCCGATACATCCGTCTGCGGTTCCCTTGCCATCCACTTAAACCCAAACTCGGCGCGCTGGTCCGTCCCACTCCAGGTCTGAGGGGTGCGGGGGTGGAAGCGGGCAGGTCGAGAGGCTGCAGGGTTACTTAACGAACACTGCTCTGGATTGCAGGTGGCCATTGATCCCGCTGTCGGAGACCTGCTGTAGCAACTTGGCAGGCGTCCGGAATAAACGCGTCGCGGCTCTCTGTCCAGATCTTGGCGGGTGGACGCGGGCGGAGGCGGTGCCGCCAACGGTCCCCCCAGCGCGCGGTGGAATCTGTCTCCCCGAGCTAGTTTGTGCCCAGTGCTGCCACGGGGCACTCTTGACCCAAGCATGTTTCCATCGCTCACGGTCCGCGTCCGCTGCCAGCACCGTCGTCCACTCTGCTTGGGATCCGTGCTCTCTCGGGCCCACTTCGAGGGTGACTGCCCGTCGAAGCACGAGCGCGAGGAGGAGAGGGAGGAGGACGACGACGGCGGCGGCGGCGGCGACGGCGCCGCCGAGGAGAGGCGAGGGACAGGAGGAGATGAAAGAAGGGCAGCCAGGAAGAGGAAGAGAGCATTTCTCACTCGCGGCGATAACGGGCGTCAGGAGGGGGGGGGGGGGGGGACGAGGCCGTGTGGCTCTGGCACCACAGCAACTGAGCGCGCCAGGGGCACTGCCGCGGGCGCACCAACGCGGGGGGGAGCGCGTTACGTGGGGAGGGGGGGGGGTCCAGAACACGCGTTCTGGCCCAGAGGGTGAAAAAAAGAGCTCTCGAAGGAGGAGGGCGAAGACGACGAGGGAAGACGACGACGAGGAACGACGAGGCCCACCGACGACGCGGAGCGGCGACGGCGAGGAACGACGGGGCAAGAACTGCGCGGGCGCCCAGGCCCACAGAGAGACGGCCTCCTCCGGCCCTCCGCCGCGGCCGGGGAGGGGGGGGGGGCCGCTGGCGCTGGCAGGCGTGAGCGCGCGGCGTCGTAGCAGTCGCCGCCATCGCCGCCGCCGCCGCCGCCGCCGCCCGCCGCCGCCGCCCGTCGCCGCCGTCGGCCGCCGTCGGCCTTTTCCCCCCAGAGCCGCTGCGGCCCACGTCGGTGAGCCACAGCTCGAGCGCAACGACTGCGGTAGCGACCTTGCCCGTCAGCGTGGGGAACAGAAACCGGCGAGGGGTGTAAGTCTCCCCCTGCCCCATCCTGGGTCTGGGTCGGCCAGGCGGCGGGTCGCTGGAGCGTCCAAGGTGGCCCAAGATAGCTCCAAGATGGCCCAATATGGTTCCAATATGGCGCAAGAAAGCTCAAGATCACAAGATCTCCCAAGATGGCGTCCCACGTGTTCCAAGGAGGAGGAGGAGGAGGAGGAGGAGGAGGAGGAGGAGAAGGAGGACGAGGAGGAGGAGGAGCAGGCTCGCGACAGGGCGGCCATGTCAGCCACGCCCTCAGCGGCGCCTAGCCTTGAGGGCGCGGCATCGGCAGTGCAGCAACTCCCCAGGGCTCGACCAGTAAGCTGCGTTTTGCATCGGCAGCGCAGCAACTCCCCGGGGCCCGACCTGAGCTGTGTTCTGCGTGCTCGTGCTGCGTTCGCGCGCACACCCGAGGGGGAACCGGGCGGGGCGGGCCTGGAGCCCACGCAGGACTGCAGGCGGCACGGCCAGGCCCCCGGCCGCAGGCGTGCCGTATGAGGCAGGGGCGCCCTTGAGACCCACCCCATCTTGAGCATTCTCTTGGGGCGGAAGGCTCCAGGTGAAATCCATATGGGCTGTTGCACCCGGAAGATGGATCCGTCGTTGGATTCGCCTTCTGCAGGTCCAAGCCCCGAAAACTCATCGAGACGGCGTTTCACATTTCACC